TCCGGACCCCCTTGTGACAGCCCAGCCCCGACGCGGGAGGGTGGGTGAGGGTCCCCCCCGCCTGAGGCCTCTGCCCCTGGCCGGAGAGCCCAGCTCTACGCTGCCGTGGGGACCGGCTCCGCGGAGTGCCCCAGCAGGCAAGAGCTGCTGGTAAATGGCCGGAGTTTATTTTGGGAGCTTTTTGCCTGTGAAAGGGGTGGGTTTGGGGCTGAGGAAGAAGAGGTTGGGGCTCCCGTGTTCCTCGGGCATACTCCCGGTCGGCACGGGGGTTGAGGGCGACGAGCCTGGGCCAGACCCCGCCGGGGGTGTCTCTGGAGGCGAGGGCCGGGGGGAGCCGAGCGGCGGTATCCAAAGCCCACGAAGTCCCATCTGGCTGCTGCGGGGGCCTTACTGTTCCCAGTCAGCTGAAGGTCACTGCCAAAATTCAGCACTTCGCCACCCTCTTTCCTGCCTCGTGAGTGGTGTGCATGTTGAAATACCCCCTTCCCCGGCAAAGGCACTCGCCCAAGTGACGCAAAAAAGGCTTATTTGGAGTGTCCAGGCTCTGTGGTCAATTATTGCTGTGGATGGGGAAGGTGAGCTGTTTCCCACTGAGCTGGATTAGGCCAGTGCTTATGGTTGGTGGTGGGACATGGGCACAGAGTTACTTTTGGACAGTTTTGTTAGCAGGAGGAAGGAGTGGAGGAATGGTTTTGGGGAAAATCCTCACTTCAGTTCTTTTTGCTTTCACTGTGTCCCTACTTTTAAAGGGGAGCACAGTCTGTAGAAAATTGCAATTCCTGTGACACACTCCCCCCCCGACAGTCTTAGACCTCCAGTACAGAGTGGATGATCCCTGCTTCCATGAATTTGTAATACAAAAAACCCCAAATGAATACCTGTAAATTGGAAGGAAGGGCAGTTGTGGGAGTTTTTTAAAACTTTACTTTCTTTTGCAGTGATCGCTAGTTCAGCTCACTACAGTGCTTGCGTGGTTATAGACAGGGAAACAGCTCGCCAGCTTGGGATTTGGGACTCAGCTCTTGAAACACAACCAAGCTTTAGTTTCTTGCCTGTCTCCCAGCTCCTGGAGCCACTAGCACTTGCAGCCTGTTGGTGGATGAAGAAACAGGAGTGTGACTAGCTTGTGCTGCTGGAATGACAGACATCAGTATGTAATTTCAGTTTCGTTGGTTGCTTGCTGCCAGAGCAGTTATTGGTATTTCTGGAATGAAGAAAAATAATCAGTTATTAAAAAATGGTTTGAACTTGATGCAATAAAAGTAATGCTGCACTTATTTGAAATATTATATCTTCAGGGTATAGTATGGACAAGCTTCTAATTAGTACACAATGTATAACATTTTGGAAAAAAAACTTAGAATTGTTTAGTCAGAATGGCTTGAAGCTCAAAAATAATTCTGAAAAATAATTTCTCATGATGGCAGGAGGACTGCATGCTGTAGCCAGGGTGCAGATTAGAAGGATTTGGATAACTCCTGTGCAGATGCACAGTCAGAAATGCTTAGACAGAATTAAACACACTACATGTATTTTAAAGCATATAACCTTTTTATTTTTTGCTGAAAATGCAAATGACAGGAAGATTTGGAAAAGCAGGCAGCTTGTCTTTCTTTGTAAATAATCTGTAATACTTAATGTTCTGACTTCTTGGCTTATCTTACATATTTAGTTAAAAAACCCTTCTGCAATATATGAAACACGTTTGCAGTTAGCTCCAGTACTTATTGCTGTTGCTGTTCTCATTCGTGCTGTCTAAATGATCAGTGTTTCTCTCTGGTTTCGCAGTATTGTAAATGTAAGGCGAGGAAGTTGCCAGCTGGCTTGACCCAGGGTTATTAGACTTGAGCTTAGGCTAAAGGTCACAAAAGTTCTTTCTGTGAAGCATGTGTGTAAGTGGGAAAGGAGTCCTTTGCTGGGAAAAGGTGGTGGCGGCAGGGGGTGTGTGCAAGCTTTTCCAGCGTGTCCCAAGCCTGAGGATTGGTACGGGGACTGAAAAGGAAGAACAATCCAGATTCCTAAACCCGGCCATATGGTGCCTGCTGCTGTCAGGAAAAGAAAGGCAGTTACAGACCATTTAATCGCTCTGTATCTCTTGAGCGCTAGCTAGTTATGATGTAATCCTAAAAAAGCTACAATACTATTGTTGTGGTTTCTTGTGGGTTTTTTTTATTTTTAACAAGGCTATGTATTATCTTTTGCTGTATTCTGTCTAAGTAGACAAAATTCTGTTCTTGGGATCCTTCAGTCGCTTTTGTCTTCATTGAGAACAATGAAAACTTGTTCTTGTCTGATAGCTGATTGTTGTTTGCGGAAATATCAAAATCTGGATGAACAGCTTTAGCACTTCCCTTTAAACAAGTGACATACTTGTCCAATGTGTGTGTGGGCATTTATGTCACTGTGAGTCCTCTATGAGTTAGGGTTGCAGAATATCCTTAGAGTGTACCAAGAGGAGGAGCTCAAGACCTTGAGTACATTATAAGTGTCTTTTAGTTAATTGAGAATTTTGGCAGAAGAGACATGGTGCCCTTCATTGTGTGTTCTCAAGTAGTTTGATCCTAGAGCTTTCAGCTGAGATGTGGATCCGGACTGATGTTGGACTGCACGGAAGTTTCCTGTTAGAGGTGTATGTGGCATGCATTGTAAGAACATAACACGTAGACTGTATCTCAGGTGATTAATCAGTGCTCCTACATTTCAGACTGGTGAACCAGCATGAAACAGTGTGAGGTCTGACTTCACTGTTGCATTTCAGTCCTTAGTTGTAGAGGAAAGCTTGAAGTGGACTCTCTAAGTGGACTCTGAAGTGGTGATGGGCTTCAGAGGTAAATGTGTCCGGATTCATTTGGCCTTCACAGTAGTAAGCTGTTTGGTGGTGAGAAGTGATGGTAAAGGTATGGAAATGTTTGGTTTTTGGGGAAATACTATAGCTATCACAGGAAGAGTTGTTACAATATGATGAATTTTAGTATTTTTATTTAGTAAATTGTAACTTTCCCAACAAAGTGTCTTCAGCACCGTTCAAGAGACACTTTGCAAGTGCTGACAGTGGCAGCAAGAGCAAACTTGCGTAAGCGGCATCAATAGCAAGATGACACTTCTGATTAAGCTGTCATTTTAATCATCTTCTGAATGCACCATCATTTAATGTTGCTATAATGGTGATGCCACAAAGATTCAGTGAAGGTAGGATTCTTCTTGTAACTTCATGCTGCAAGGGATCGCAAGTTGCACGGTAGCTCAGCTCTGCTGCATGGCTGTTCTGTGCTGTGTGTCAAAAGAGGTGCATAAAGCTGTCTCCAAGTCTTGTCTGTTTTTCTGTGTTGGGATGCTGAGCTGTTTCTGCCTCTTCTGCTGTTACTGAGTAGCTCCATCTACCCCTCTTTCCC